CTAACGTTCTGTGGTTCTGTGAATGTTTGATTTTAAAGGACGCACCCAGATTAGTAAGATTTCCCAACATGAGCTGAGCTGTCTACAAGTTTTCAAGCAATGCATTGGTTTCAGGGCCATGTAGCGTTTTATCTTTGTAGAACCAGTTTGGATTGACAGGTACTTAGAGATTTCTTTGTATTCTCTGAGAGCATTTAAAATCTTCTGGGTAGACTTTTTTTTTTCTCCTTTCTTTTGGTCTAGAGCATAAGCAGCCTCAGTAAAGAACCCTGACATTATGAATTGTGCCTCTTCCATGGGTCAAAATGACCTGAAAGTATTGACTTACCAAGGTCTGCTGCAAACCTGTTCTTTCACACCAGTGATTTTGAGCATGTTGGTTGACTCGGGAGGGTTTTAATCTTTCTTCCTGTTTTTTTTGTAAGTTTAAATGCAGAACAGATTTGGGAATTCATGCGACTTACGTAAGGCACCTATCCCAAAATTCTAGCCAGTGTAAATGAGCTTAACTTCAGCATTTTAGTGGGAATCCTGAGGCCTGTTTTAGATTTAAGCTTATATTAAAAGACACTGAAGCCATTATCCAGTATCATTAGCTTACAGTGATTCTCACACACAGCTAACGTCATTTGCCTGCATCTGTTATAGCAGTAGGTCTCTGTGTTACCAAAAGGAAGTTTTACGTTCTCCCCAATAAATTTTTGCACAGGACTCTGAAGCATTGAAGCAGGTGCACTGAGGCAGCATGCTGTCCACAAAGCTGCTTGGAGTGTCCTGCCTCTGGAAAGCCTGTGGTCCACATCGTTAGGGCTGTCACAATTAGGCTGATTCACTGACAAAACACCAACCTTTTGGGCTTTGGGGACATTTTTTAATTTGACATAATCTTCAGAAAAGCTAGGATTTGTTATTTCTTTGTGCAGACGAAGAAAGCCACGTGTGCAAAAATTAGCGCCTGCAAATACCGTTTTACCAATGTTCTGTGTGCTTCATTTCACAGCCAGACTGGCAACCCTATCTCCCCCAGAATGGGGATAATATCGAAGTGGCTTTCTCCTATTCCCCTGTGTTGTGGCCTTGGTCCGGATACTTGGCAATTTCCATCTCTGTAGCAAAGAAAGCAGCATCTTGGGAAGGCATTGCTCAAGGACATGTGATGATCACAGTATCATCCCCTCCAGAAAATGAAGTAAGTTCTGGGCGTTTTGGTTTTTTTCTGTGTTGATAATTATTAAAACTCCTTCCTGATACACAAATACCTTCTTTTAACGGGGTCACTCTGGTCCCATCATTTGAAGCATAAGTTAGATTGGGATCAGGAAATTGAAGAGTACAAATAAGGATCTTGAGAGCAGGATTAACCTGCAAATCGGATATGGGTTAGAATCAGAAAACCTCTTTTTGCGACCAAATTCATAATTCCGTTTGCTTATTGTGAATTCCAAGTAATGTGTTTTGACAAAGTAAATGTATTTCCTCTAGAGCCATGCTTAATTGTTCCTGCGAAGTTGTTAAGGTTTTGAGTGATTGAACCACATCACAGCTGTGTAACGGAATTTAAGCCTTTTACATTCTAAGCATAAACTCTTGAGTCCAGAAAAAGTACAGTGATGATTTAAGGCAGAAGTCATCTCTTTGTCTCCAGACCTGGTACTGGTTACTAAAAGTAGATTTGATACCTCCATTTTTTTTTGTCTTTTACAATGCAAAGTTACTGGTGAATGTTCCTGTGGGGAAAAAGGATTTCACTGTCGTTTGTTCTGTCCTTCAGTCTAAGAACGGTGCAGAGCAGACTTCAACGGTGAAGCTTCCGATAAAAGTGAAGATTATTCCTACTCCACCTCGTAGTAAGCGAGTCCTTTGGGATCAATATCATAATCTCCGTTATCCACCAGGATACTTCCCCAGGGATAATTTGAGGATGAAGAATGATCCGTTAGATTGGTATTTATCTCAGGTTCTACTCAATCAGTATTTCTTGATTGTGCGTTAATGATACGGGATAACTTCACTGAATGCCAGAGAGCTCTGGACTTTTTCAGCGTGGCGTGGGATTTGATTTTCTAAGAAATCAATGAAAAGTACTTGCACTCTGCATGCTTTTGGTGCAGGATTTTTTTTTTGTGTGTGTGCTTTGTGATTTTATTCACGTGTGATGAAAAGCTTTTAAAATGCACATTTAAGACGCTGAGATTTTTGTTTGGCTTTTGAAGTGTAGTGTTTTCTGCCCTAATTTCTCCCAGGAAGTTAAGGGGGGGATGCTTTGTTAGCCGCTTCAACATTCACTTATCAAAAAAACATGAGAAATTTGAAAGACCGCGTGCTAAAGCAGAAACCCCTTGTCTGTTGAGGAAGATTGTCTTTGAAGCTGGGCAAGGCTCAGCTGAGCTGTTTTCTTCCATAGAATGGAGGGGGAAAGCATCTGTAGGAGGAATCATGCGGCAGTGTGTAAGTGAGGATTAATTGGGTCAGTGACCAAGACATAGGCTTTTGGAAAGCTGCTTTGACGTGGCAAATGGACAGGAACTCTGCTGAGTTTCAGCAGTTATTTACAGGTAGTCCTGTGTGCTTCTTCCAGTTAAAACTGCTCTTACTGACTGTGAGGAGGAAGTCCTGTGACAAATGTGTGGTTTTAATACAGCAGGTGCGATGCGATCAGGTAGAGTTGTGATCTGTAAGGAACGTGCCAAACCTCTGGCTTTGACTGTGTAACTAACTCTTCTCTGTAGCACTTGGAACCAGTGTCATTTGGGAAGAATTTTGCAAACAGGAGATGGTGCTTGGAAAACTACAGGTTATCATTTGGAAAAGATGGGCCTTTTAGAAAGGGAACTAGGAAGTAATCTGTAATTAGATAATTTAAATGTCTTCAACACTTTTCTCTTTTCCTAAGGAACGGTGACCATATCCACACAAACTTCAGGGACATGTACCAGCACCTAAGGAGCATGGGGTACTTTGTTGAGGTTCTTGGTTCCCCGTTTACATGTTTTGATGCAAGTCAGTATGGTAAGCGTGAGTCTATTGCCCTGTTCTCCATACTGTTAACCTCTTCCTGAAATGGCCTGGTTTTGGGAGGCCAAAATGTTGTGGGGTTGCAAAGAAAAATTCTCACAGTAGTAGAAAAATAATGTAACAGCGGGTGTATTTATTATTTATATGCTGGTATTATTTGTGTAAAGTGTCTCTGCAGAAGCTTGCTTGGGAGTCTAGCAGATTTAGTGTGGTTTTCTGTCCTTATGAAAATAATGAGAGGGAAAGCCCAGCTCTTGACTTTGTTAAAAGCTCCTCTGGATTGAATTTGCGAATCTCCTGATTGTTGTCTTCTGCCACGGTTTGGCTCAGTTTATGGAGCATTTGGGTGAGACCAGACTGCAAAATACACAGCTGACGTATGCGAGCATTCAGTTCATGGGACAATACAAGCACGAGTCGTAAATAACGCCCTTGAAAAGCATACTGTGCTGTCACACTGATTTTTGGATACATTTGTAAACGGAATTGTCTTCTGTTTCCCATCCTTGAATGTTACTTCTTTAGGTGAGCTGCCAGAGCAGGGCACGTGGACCAGATATTATAGAAAATGTGTGTTTGTGCTGACTTCTGCCTGGGCTGTGCGAACAGGGGTAACATTACAGTGAAGAGCCTGGTTTTTGCTTTTACACACAGGGACTTTACTGATGGTGGACAGTGAAGAAGAGTATTTTCCCGAAGAGATCACCAAGCTGAGGAGGGATGTTGACAAAGGGCTTTCACTTATAGTGTTTAGTGACTGGTACAACACATCCGTCATGAGAAAAGTCAAGTTTTACGATGAAAACACAAGGTACTGATTTGTGTCAGTTCTTTGGGAAATAAAATGTCCCAGAATTGACATTTTATGTACATAGTACCCTAAAAATCCCCTATGCTGTACTTTAGCACTTGCACACTACCTGTAAGAACAGACTACCTGAAGAGCAAAATTGATGTTAAGCTGCAGCATAAGGAGAGTAGCTGCCTATTTTGTCATAGCTGCAAAGGTCCCCTTGGTAGTGTAATCTTCTTTTAAAGCCTAGAAAAACATTTACAGTGAAAAGAAGTAAGAAATTGGAGACTGACAAAGAAAAATGGATATATTTTCACTTTCAGGAAGCAGAACAGAAAGAAACATATGGGTTGCCAACAGAATCTCCAGGTTGTGCACCCGTTATTGAAATCATTCCAGTGTATTGTGTAAAGAGAAAATTCACTGCTATCACCAATGGTGATGAGAACCCTCCCAATTATTGTAATTATCAGCCCATTTTGTATTACTCTTAAGCCAGCAAGATTTGCTTTGCAGTTTGTGAGCAAGTAGCATTTTGCTTCATTAGAAAAGTGAGAGGAAATTACATGGCCATGCTTTTTGCCTCATCGTAGCCAAACAAAGACCGTAAGACTGAATTTCTTTGTAGTAAATTGAAATTTTCCACAGAACTGGAATGCACTGAGAACTTTACGTTAGTATTACTTAACTTCTGTTCAGAAGCGTAGATGTCAGAGAGAGACAGCTGCTCACGTGCCCCTGGAGTTAAGTAAGGCTCTGAGATACAGTTCCTTATTTAAGTGACTTTGAAAAAGTCTGCATGTGAGAAGACACCTGATTTTTCATTATACAAACTCTAGGAGTATATTCTGTATACTAATAAACTGTATTATGCTGTAATTTTTATAGACAGTGGTGGATGCCTGATACTGGAGGTGCTAATATACCAGCTCTCAATGATCTGCTTTCTGTCTGGAATATGGCCTTTAGTGATGGGCTGTATGAAGGCGATTTTACCATGGCAAGTCATGAAAGTGAGTACTGGAGTCCATTGCCTATGCAGGCTACAGCGTGTTGTATAGAAAGCAGTTTAATGTGTGAATGAGTTTGAGCAAGAGTCACAGAATCGCTCGGTTGGAAAAGCCCTCTGAGATCATCACGTCCAACCGTTCCTGTCTACCCCCTAAACCATATCCTTAAGTACCTCATCTACCCGCTCCTTAAGCACATCCAGGGATGGTGACTCCACCACCTCCCTGGGCAGCCTGTTCCAGCTTCTGACGACCCTCTCAGTAAAGAACTTCCTCCTTATCTCTGACCTGAACCTCCCTTGGCACAGCTTGGTGCCGTTTCCCCTTGTTCTATCCCCCATCACCTGGGAGAAGAGCCCAGCACCCACCTCTCCACAACCTCCCTTGAGGCAGTTGGAGGTGGTGCTGAGGTCTCCCCTCAGCCTTCTCTTCTCCAGGCTAAACAAGCCCAGTTCCCTCAGCCGCTCCTCATCAGGCTTGTTCTCCAGAGCCCTCCCCATCCTTGTGGCTCTTCTCTGAACACGCTCCAGAATCTCAACATCCTTCTTCTAGTGAGGGGCCCAGAACTGAACACAGCACTCGAGGTCAAGGGAACCATGCAAATTCAGTGAAAAGAGTCTCATAAGCATGCTTAAATTACTTCCTTCCTAGACTGTATGTGAAAAATGTTCAGAACAGGTAAAGTGTGTCCTCAGTTTAGGTGTTCAGAAATGCCTTCTCTGTGAATGCACGTATTGTTCAAAATACAAAAATTCAGAGCCATGTTCCTGGGAGTATTTTCTTCTGTGCTTGTTTTAACAGCTCACTGAATTACGGTGGGAAGGGAGGCAGTGTCATTTTTAGTCTTTAAACTGCAATTTTGTGGTATCTTCCAGTGAATTACGCATCAGGATGCAGTATTGCAAAGTTTCCAGAAGATGGCATTGTCATTGCACAGACATTTAAGGATCAAGGTACGCGTTTTCTTGTCTTTTTTCTGTGTTTTAAGTAGAACTTTGGAGTCGGTGCACAAGCAAAGTTACAAAGTCTAAAGGTGTTAAAGCAATGAAGTGAAACATGCGTTGATAAGGTAGGGATTTATTCCTTCTGCATAGAACACGTAGTTGGATGCCTAATGGGCAGCTGCAATATGACTCTGTATACCATTTTTATATAGTACAGCAATATCCAAGTGTATATATGCAGTCTTTTATTGTGTTTGATGTATGTAAACATCAGAGAGAGAAAGAGAGAGCCAATTGGATGAGTAGCCCGCTAGACCTGCTTTCTCCATTGAATCCTTTTCATTGCAGTCATGAAGCAAGAGAGATCTCATGTTTTGCTTCTGCTATCTAAAGGCAGTGTCTATAGTGAAGGAGGCTAAATACTGAATTTGAAGTTTGTCTAATTTAGGTTTTTTTTGAAATGAGAATTAGAGGCAGGAAAACTTTAAGCTAAAACCAGCTTTCTAGAGACTTCATTTTAGTTCCTGCACACACTGGGTTGTTTTCCCTCCTGCTGTTGATAGAGCTTTCAGTTCACAGGAGACAAAACGACTGGATGGATTTGTAAGGTACAAATGGCAGGTTTGTAGCCGGGTGTCCTCTGGGTTTGCTGCATGTAACCCATTCGTCCTGTGAAGGTTCCTGTGCTCGCATTTTTCATCTTTTCTGTTCATGGATTATGTCAGTTATAACTGTAAATATCTCTCAGACATATCTTTTAGGTTGCCAGTTTATTACTCAGATACTTTAGCAGTGTTTGGAGCCAGGCTTTAAAATGATACTCCTGCAAAAATTGCTCTTTATGATGTTGGTACAAGTTTTTCAGCAAAGGCTGAGAAGCACATCTCAGTACCATGGCCAGGCAGGATGTCATGAAAACTGACTCTAACTGCCAGCTCAAATTGCACTGGGATGAGGAGGGAGTAAAATTTGCCAAAGGTTAAAGCAGCAGGGCAAGGAAGGTGGGAAAAGTCATGTGAGTTTTATTTTTTTTTCTTTTTTGCTTAGGTAGCCTTATTAAACAATATTTCTCTTTGTTCCTGATTTGAAAGCTGAAGAGATGAAGCACAAGGGTAACAGTAACTGCAGAGTTGCAGCGAGATGCAAGCCCAGCAGTCTTTAAAATGAGCTTCTCCTGAACGGCTGCTTTAAATTACCTCTGTCAAAGCCTTTGTGTTGCAGCTGCTGCCTACAGAGACAGATGTTGTGTTTCATGGAATGTCTCTGTTCTCTTTTGTTAGTTCTGTAGCCAATTTTCTTGTAGGAATAGGTAGGCTTGGCAGCAAAGTAAGCTGGCGAAGAGCAGTGTGCCTTGTGATGGCTGATTTTTAAGTTACTGTGTGCTGTAGAATTGTGCAGAAGGACTAAAACAACAGAAAGCGATTTGTAAGGCAGATAATTTTCATTTTTAAACCCATTGGTAAAAATACGAGGATTTTTCGTTTGAGAATATTGAAGATAATCCAGGTTGTGAGGTCTTTTTCTGCTTCTTCACCAAAGAAAGGA